CAGTCATTGTTAGGAAAGGCCAGCTGATGCAAATTTCAAATCTTTATAAATACTCTGACTCCTGAAAGCAACAATCAGCAGCCATGGGCTCCTCTAAACAGCTGCCTAGCACTCTGAAAACTAAAAGACCTGATGAAGACTAGAAGAAGACAGCAAAGTGTTTTCAGGGAGCTGTTTCCTCAGCTGGTCATGTCATTAAGAAACGGCAGTTAACAGGAACTGTGGAGGTCAAGCTGAAAACACTCTGAGAGAGCTGCTCGTAGGATTGTTAGAAAGGTAAATCAAGGGGTCGTCGGTGGCTTAGTGGATAGAGCAGGCACCCCATGTACAAGGCTGTTGCTGCAGTGGCCCGGGTTTGACTCCAGCCTGTGGCCATTTCCTGCATGTCATTACCCCTCTCTCTCTCCCCCCTTCACGCTTAACTGTCCTATCTATAGAGGCAAAAATGCCCCAAAAAATATCTTTAAAAAAAAGAAAGGCAAATCAAAACCTCTGTTTGACTTCAAAAGACCTGCAGGAAGATTTCTCAGACTCTGGAGTGGTGGTGCACTGTTCTACTGTGCAGACACACCTGGACAAATATGAGCTTCATGGAAGAGTCATCAGAAGAAAACCTTTCCTGTGTCCTTGCCACAACATTCAGCATCAGAAGTTTGCAAAGGAACATCGAAACAAGCCTGATGCTTTTTGGTAACAAGTCCTGTGGACTGATGAAGGTAAAACAGAACTTTTTGGACACAGTGAGCAAAGGTATGTTTGGAGAAAAAAGGGACACCTGTCCAACTGTTAAACACGGGGGTGGATGGATGATGCTTTGGGCTTGTGTTGCAGCCAGTGGCACGGGGAACATTTCACAGGTAGAGGGAAGAATGGATTCAGTTAAATACCAGACATCACAGCATCTGTAGAAAACTTGAACATGAAGAGAGGATGGCTTCTACAACAGGACAGTGATCCTAAACACACCTCCAAATCCACAATGGACGACCTCAAGAGGAGCCAGCTGAAGGTTTGGCCACGCCCCTCACAGTCCCCCGACCTAAACATCATTAACATCTGTGGATAGAGCTCAAAGAGCAGTGCATGAAGACGGCCCAAGAATCTCACAGAGCTAGAAGCCTAAATATCTCGATATGATAATTTTTTTCAACTTCCATGTGTTGTTAAACAAGAAAACGATCCGTCATTACCGACAAAGACACTGTAGCCTGAAGTGAGGTTGACAATGACTGACAACAACCTGAAGCTCCAGGAAATACACCCCACCAAAGGTGAGCCCTCCTCGGCTGCAGAGGTCGGCTGTAGCTCTACACTGACTAAACAACCAAAACTAGATTGTAATCGTGGACAGCTGCAGGATACAAAGAAGTGATGAAGCTTGTGGAGGGATATGTGGTGGATGTAATGTTGCTCCACCAGTGACTCTCCGTGTTTCGGGCAGAAAATACCCCTAGGTAAATCGAAGCTGTCCAGCCTCAGCTACACGCTGACATTCACACAGAGACACACATCTGAATTTTGGGGAGATTTGCAATTACTAGTTTTCTGGAGTGTAATAAAAGTAATATAACGAACGAACATAAGTAGTGTAATGAATTACTGTTGGCAGGGAGTAATAAGTAAAGAGTAACGAGTAATGCATAACATTTTTAGAGTAACAAGTCCAACACTGTCTGTCTCTATGTGTCAGCCCTGTGATAGTCTGATGATTTGTCCAGGGTGGACCCCGCCTCTTGGCCAGCGTCAGGTGGGTTAGGCTCCACCCCCAGCGACCCTGAACAAGTTAAAAGAAAAAGAATGGCTGATTGAGAAGCAAGGAGAGCTACAGTGTTCGGGAGGATGGAGCACGTCTGGTGTATCAGTATCAAAGGTGTCCCAGCAGAACGTTGCATTATAACGAGATGATTGATGTTATCCCACCTCACCCTCCAGTGGTTTTAATGCTTTGGCTGATCCGTGTATTTTTCCACGTATAACATAAAGCTCTGAGGGCACCTGAGGACAAAGGCGTTCTGAATCAATACTCACTCATTCATAATTTAAAGGCCTGTGGAACCAGGTTAAAGAACACGGCCCTGGGATGACGTAAACAGTGACTGCTAACTCCTCGGAGACATCTCTGATTCGACATTTCTGAAACTCTGCAGATTTGATTGTAAGGTTCAAACTATCAGCGCGCTCGTCGGCAGGGCTGTCATTATATTGATTTCCTGCTGCAGCGTACTCTAAGTAAGAGGCAGTTATAAAACGTGGTGTACTGTGATTTCTCTGAATGATGAATCTCTTCTCCTCCATGTGCCTTTTTCTTTCACTCTAACCCTCCCTCTGTTTCACACACACACACACACACACACACACACGTGGATAGCATGTATAAAGGTGTAAATGGGTTCAGTGGGGAAATATTACTCGCGTGTGAGTAAATTTGTTAACTGACATTAAGTGATGCATGATGCAGCAGTCGTCAGAGAGTCTTCTTTATCATACAAACGCATGCATCTCCAACAACAACCCTTAAACAGCAGCTGGTCGCGTGGTTGGAGAGACCATCACTCACGTTAAAGGTCACACCGTCACAGGTTTCCATCACTTCAACGACCCCAGGCATCCGTCATGGGCCTCGGTTCCTTTCCTCGCCTCCTTTCCTCACGTCTTGGTCCCTTCCACCTGTGCACGGAGGAGACACAAGGAGAGAGGAGTCAAGGCAACAGGCATCTACCAGCCGTCATTTTAAAGTGACAGCAATTAAATATGATGTGTTTAGTAAAAGTTCCGACAGTCACTATGTCAGATTTAGACAACGATTGTGGAGTCATAAAATCTCACAGCCGACTTGACATGACAGACTACACGTTGACCAGTCATCCCTGGTCGTCTTTCATGACGTGCGTGATGTCATCAGATTATTCTTGTCCTACTTTAATTATTATTTATTACTATTTCAGCCACTGTGTCTGTTCATTTCCCAGCTGAAATGCTTCTGCTGTACCGTAAACAGCAATGTTTAGGAGCTACATTTGAAGTACTGTGTGCAAACTGTGCAAGTCACTGAATCCTCCACAACAAGTTCCTGCAAATGTTTCACAATAAAAGCCTTTTTTAGAAAATGAAGGGATTTTCTTAACTGAAATTATAAGGAGCTTTTAATTTTTAATGAATACAGGAAGTGTTGAGTTTGAAATGATGGTGTGATGCATTAAATTTAACAGGACAAATGGGAGTGTATTAAAACTAAAAACAGAATGAGAAATAACGTCCTGTTTCTAATGCAGTGTGTTTGAGATGCAGCTGGTAGCCTCTGCAGCTGTGCTGAGTAAAGGCCCAGACACTTTCCGTGAGTTTGATTCCTTTATATCCTCCATTATGAAGAAAGAACATTGTTTGCTAGCTTGATGCTAATGGCAGTACTCAGCGGGTTGATAAAGTGCCTCTGCTGTTTCCTTTTTACTCTGTGTGCTAACGTCCCTACAGGAATTATCTAAAAGGCTGTCATGTTGTTGTTCTACAGTTTCCACGGCAACAGATCGCTCTGTGTTCCTATTGGTCAAAGTGACGGCTGTGTCGGGAGAAGTCGTGAAAATAAAGAAAGAAAATCAAACATGCTAGACTTTCTGTTGGAACGTCGTGAGGCTTCCCATACGTGGCGTCGGATGTCGTCTACTATGACACACTACATGAGATAAAATGATGGATTATTGCGTACAAGACTCATCGTCGTTCACGATCTGAGCCGACACCACGGCGCTGTGTTGGGTTATAACCAGGCTGATATCCTGTAGTGTGTACCCGGCATTAGATGAGATTTCTGTCTCTGTCAGTGGTTTGTAACATTGTCGACTGAAGCTGAGCGCTGACTTTTAATTGTTCCTCCTCAGCTCCAAAAAGTGTTACCTTGGTTTTGTCTTCGGCGCGGCGACACGATGGTGCAGTGGTTAGCACTGTTAGCATTATTGCCTGACAGCAAGAGGTTTGAATCCAGGGTGGGGGAGCCCTTCTGTGCAGAGTTTGCATGTTCTCCCCGTGTCAGCGTGGGTTTCCTAGGAGATGTATTCACAGTTTTATAAATCAGAATATTTCTGGCATACTTAACATTTACTCATTTGTACATACGCAAAAATTTTGTGTGGCTCGTCTATTCTGTCTGCAGTTTAATAAATGAGGCCCCTGGTCTGACCCGTCTGGCCTGGGCTGAGACTGAGAAATCTTCTATTGAAATTCATGTCTTAGACGAGATTTCTGTCTCTGTCAGTGGTTTGTAACATTGTCGACTGAAGCTGAGCGCTGACTTTTAATTGTTACTCCTCGGCTCCATAGTGTTACCTCAGTTTTGTCTTTGTTTAAATTAAGAAAACTGAGACACATCCAATCACTGATTTGTTCATGCACTCAGAGCTTGTGTTGGACCACAGTCCTCTGGTGATGTGGTTATTTCCTGAAAACAACTTTTCCTTTCAGATTTCCCTCTACTGGAACCGAGGGACCTTAAAGTATACACACATGTATGGGTAAGCTTTGGATATATGTGTTTCATCTCTCTTATTTATTCAGTGACATTTGTCTCGTTCTGGTCAAACACTCGGTTGCTTTCAGGGAGACAGAAGAGACAGAGAGGAGAGGAGTCTTCTGCCTCTGTAGCGCTCCCGGTGTTGGTAAACTGCAGCTGCAACAACATCCATCACCTCTCCGTGTCTCTCCGTCCCTCCCCCTTCTCCTCCTCAATGATACCCGAGCTCATGGACCAACCTGCATCCGCGCTTTCTTGTAGCCAGGCTTCCCCAGCTGTTCCGCTCCACCTAAATGAGCCTGCGCAATGGCCACTCGTCAAGTGTAGGAAACCAATAGAGAGAGGGAGAGACAACACACACACACACACACACACACACACACGGAGAGACACAGTGAAAACAGACGGGATGAAGCACGGGCGCGCGGACTGTTTGCTCCGGTAAACAAGCGGAGCAGGAGCCTGGAAATCACCGGCGGAAAGCGGAGGGGGGGATTTCGGGGACACAGCCATGGCGACGGGAGGAGGAGGAGGAGGAGTGAGGCGGAGGAGGAAAGCGGGGCTCCCGGGATTCTGCTGGAAAACCTGCTACTTTCCTATTTTGTTCTGGGTCGTTTCCGTCTGCGGGGAGGAGAAGACGCTGATTGTGGAGGTAGGCGGTAGAGTCCCGCACCCTGACACCTAAACACGGTTATTTAGAACAAAGTGCGCGCTGTCAGGGATGTTTGTGTGTGTGTTTATCTCCACCCATGGGTGTTAAGGAATGAGCATCCTCCCTCCTTCACTCCCATCAGGTCAGCTCCGTTTCTTAACGCACGCGGGTTGGCGCGGAGTCGTGCGCTCCGGGATGTTTTTATGCGCGTTTCCATGTTTACACCCGCCGTCCCTCTCTCTCATTCCGCCTTCACCCCGCCACGAAAGTGACACCCACCCTCCATGTGCGGAGGGAGCAGGGGAAATAAAAGATTCACGAGTTGGTGAACTGAATTAATGAAAGCAGATCAACAGTAGAGCAGCTCCATCTCACTGCTGTGCTCTTTTGTTTTCGGGCGCTGGGACGGCGCGCGCAGCGGACCTCTCCAGTTGCCGTCCAGTGAATTTCCTAATTACAAACAAAGGTGGCGTAATTGCCCATCAGGTTTTATTGTTTCCGTTTGTTTAGAGGCTTCAGTCCGGCCGCAGAGCTCCGCTGCGAGGGATGAATAATTTGTCCCTCCGCTGGCTGAGCTTTTGGCGGAGGAGGGAGTCAGTCCAAGATGGTGAGGTGCTGGGGACTGTGTGTCAAACACCCTCATTAGAAGCGGCCTTAACGCACGCTGCTTGGCTGATTTACAGGCTGCTAATTATACTTGTTCATGGTTGATCCGGGTAATTAATCCCTCCGTCTCTTGTGCGCAATTGGAAACACATGATGGACAGTGAGGGTTAAAAAGCACTAATATCCACGTGCAGATGATCGTGTGTTATTTCTTTGGTGACTGGAGGAGTCTCTGTGATGAGCTGTCAACACATGTTGTCAATAAATAGCCATCAGCATGCAGAGAGCATTAAAGTGAGGCTGAGTGAGTGTGCTGCTTTCATGTGTGCTGAACAAAGCATCTCCAGATTCTCCCCCTCGCTCCCTTCACTGAGTCCAAATATAGCCTCCCTCCATAATTTATGGAAATGGCAGGGAGTTGGAGGAGAGAAGAAGAGGAGAGATGGGAAGAGGTGCAGACATGATGGATTTAAAATTCTTGTGCACATGATGGCCAGTCGTCTCAGGCTGCTGCCGCCACACAAAGGCAGACAGAAAGTTCTTTGTTGATATGGGTGCAAATGAAATGTGGAACACTTGGATGATAAACCGATGCTTCGAGTAGTGTTTTCAGCTTCAGCAGGTGAAAGCATCCTCTGACAAACATCACCATTAATATCAAAGAAAACATGGGATCCTTTGTTTGCTGAAGATGCATCACACCTTGTTTGGAAATGTGGGTCATGGATTGTGAAATCGAATCCTTGCAGACGTCTTTCGCTCTGGGAGACGTGATCAGCGGTGTTTTTATTTAGTGATGTTGTTAGTGACACTTTCATTCAGACAAAGAGAAGCGCCTGTGGCTGGGCTGAGCGTGGCTGCTAACAGCCGGGGTATGTCACGGTGCCACACAAAGGATGAGATGTTTTCACTGAGCCTGGTTTTCCCTGATAAATCATAATCCCCTCAAAGCTATTGCTGGTACATGTCATGCTAATGTGGCCCCACACGGATGTGATGTATAGTTTTTGCCATAAATCATGGTTTTATTAAAAGATAATTCAATGAAAAATGTGCCCTCAGTCAGTATTTACGTCATTGGTACAGAAAACAAAAGTTTGTGTGAAAATCTATTAATCTGTTTGTTATTTTCTTGAGTTATTTTTGGGACTAAAATCACTGAAAAATGCCCAAAAGTCAGCCCCAATGTGACTTCTTCAAACAGCACTTTTGTCCAAACAACAGTCCAAAACCATAATATTCAGTTTACTTTAAGATATCACAAAGAAAATCAGCAAATCCTCAAAATTTAGAGGCTGAAACAAAATTTATTGATATGACTTGAATCATAAATCAGTAATTATCAAACTAGTCTCATAAACTGTTAATGTGTTTCCCTTTGCAAAGTAATGCACCCAGATTCGTTCATGTTACACATATTTTGAAAGGCTGCAATCACGTGACTGATGCGCTGACGGGAGTAGACAAGGACGCAGGTTGAGGTGATGGATGGGTCATAAAAAACAGGACTTTCCACTGGGACATTCCCCAGGAGACGCGTGTTGGGAAACGTGAACTTTGAGTCACTTCAATGTACGTCCTCGCCGTGTTTCTCTTCCTAAACCTAACCACAGTAACTTTGCATTAAATACGTAACTTTGTTTCAGGACGTAACGTCATTCGTGGGGCACTGATTTGTAGGGTGTGATACAAACCGTTCTATGAGCACACAAAAATGCGCACACAACAGTTCGTATGATACTCTACAAATTAGTGCCCCACAAATGACGAAAGTCCTTAACGTAGAGTAATGCATTAAAGTTACGGAGGTTTAAAAAGAAACATGTTAAGATGAGTGTTCAGAAACATGTGAACTCTGAGTCTGTAAAGTTTGTCCTCACCATGCTTCTTTTCCTAAACCTAACAACTGTAACTTTATGTTGATTGCGTAACTATATGTTGAAGAAGTAACGTCATTCGTCGGGCACTAATTCGTAGGGTATGGTGCAAACTGTACCAGGAGTGTACGAAAATGCAGTTTGTATGATAACGTACAAATGAGTGCCCAATGCATGACATTACATCCTTCACGTACAGTGATGTATTTAAATTAAAGTTACTGTGGTTAGGTTTAGGAAAAGAAACACAGTGAGACCCATGTTCGCAACCATTTGAACTCTGACTCTTTAAGGTGCGTCCTCACCATGTTTCTTTTTCTAAACCTAACCTCAGTTACTTTACTTGCCTAAATCTAACCACCATAGCTTTGCATAATTTGTGGGGTGCAAATTTGTAGACTATGATATGGACTGTTGTGTGTGCATTTTTATACAATATCAAACTGTTACTGTCAAACTGTTCTATGACCACACGAACATGCAGACACAGTTTGTATGATACCCTAGAAATTAGCGTCTCAAATGACATCACGTTAAATTTTGATCCAATGGCTTAAAACAACTGACGCAGCTGGGTAGCTGCAGACTTTGCCAGGTTTGAAATCTTCAACCAAGTCGCCAGAGTCAATGTTTGTAAAAGTTTCTGCAAACCATGGATACGTGACATCTGTACATTATTCTACAACTCATAGAATAGTTTATATGATATCCTTTGAAAACTGCCTGCTCAACAGTTTGTATGATATTGTACAAATTAGCGCCCCAGAAATGGTGTTGCGTTGTTAACGTACAGTGATGTAATTAACGTAAAGTCACTGTGGTTAGGTTTAGGAAAAGAAACGTGGCGAAGACGTACCTTAAAATGACTTAAAGTTTACAGGGTTACAAACATGTGACTCCAGAGGAAGTCCACCTTTTTGTGACCCATCTACCACCCCAAGCTGCCTCCTTGCAAGACCACTCAGGACTGCTTCCTTGTTTACCCCCTTCAGCGCCTTGGTCACAGGATTGCAGCCTTTCAGAATACGTGGGATATGAATGAATTTGGATGCATCACTTTTTGTGGGAAAACATTTGACAGTTTATGAGAACAGTCTGAATTAGCTGACTAATCGATTTAACGATCCGAGTGGTTTGAGCTTTAACGATAAGCTTTGCTCGCATATCAGTGATCTTTGATGTTGGAGACCAGGTTCTTCTTTTCTGTCTGTGCATAAACAGAATTATAGGTGGAAACTTTTGTTTTGAATTGGATGATTTTGTGTTTTCACATGTGGAACATTAATGTAACAAATGTTATGTTAAACAGCATAAAAGTAGTTTGTATTTCCATCTCTTCCAAACAGATGATACCATGTGATGTTTTTTTTTTTTTTTTACAAAGCTTCTCCTGTGAAGTCACAGCCAACCAATCAAAATGCTCTCAGCCTTGGATTTTCACAGCATCAGGGTTTCTTTGTGTGCACGCTGTGGCCACATGGCACACATGAGATGGTGTTTACTTCCCCTTTATGTCCTAATTGGGGTCCAAAGGTTCAGTGCAACAACAAAGAATTGACAGTGATAAAAAAATCTATCTCATATGTTAATTTCAGCGAGGACGACGGCTGCTGCTGTAGATCTTAATTGACACTAATTGTTAAATGCACCCCTCCTGTTTATGGTAGGTATTAATTTCGAATGCTTTGGTGTACAGGTCGCCTGCCAGCTGCCTGCCTTGTTGTGTTTGTGATGAGCTCAAACACACTGGTTGTCACAGGGACACAGTGAGATGTTGTGAACATTACTTTGAACTGGTGTTGCTTTATCTGATGGTTCATATACTGGATGTTTCTGTGGGTGTGTTTGCTGAAGTGATTATTACGTACACATGCTGTTTTTTATGACAGCTATGCGGCACAAATTGGGTCGTGACTTTGGTTGCGGAGGTCTTGATGTTTTCCCGTGAAGCTGCATGAAAACATGTTTTGATCAGGTCTCAGCCGTCAGTCATTTCTTTATTTACTTTGCTTGGTGGTGCGCATCATGTTAAAGCCTGAAATAAGCTTTGGTGCTGGGATGTAATGAGGTGTGTAGCTCAAAGTTGTTTTCTATAACGTCTTAAGTTTCTGGGAGTAAACTTCTGTTTGAGGTCCTTATGATGTTTGCAGAGCTGCATGCACTGTGATGTCCAGTTCAAACGCATTGTTTGTGCTTTGTTACATTTGCCACAAGATGAAATGTATAAGAAAAAGTTCACCTTAGCAAGACTCTAAGAAAGTGCAGCAGTGGTCAGACCATCTACAGACCCTTTTACTGTCAGTATTCAGTAATACATTTTTTGGTGGGCGGAGCTTAGCTGGAGGCAAAACAGTTCTCCACAGACATTAGCTAGCGCTAGCTAACAAGTTGTGTTGTCTTGTTTTAGACGATGGAGGAAGATGATGTGAGTGGTGCGTTCAGAAACACTCATTGTGAGTGTGGGAGCGCACTCTGACACAAACTGGAGCGTTGATAAATTGGGAGCGCTGTCTGAAT